CTCCAGTGGACCACATTTTGGCAGAACTCTCTGTCATGACCTGTCTGTCTTGGGTGGCCCTGCACGGCATAGCTCATGGCTTTCACTGAGTTATGCAATCCCCTTCGCCATGACAAGGCAGTGATCCATGAAGGGGTTTAGTGAGTAGCTTTTAAAAATGTATTGTGTAATATATAGAGAAAATTAGAAGGTCCTTATGAATGTCATCAGAATTATAATTAGTGTCCATTATTAATATTTCCCCCTCTCTTTGGGGGAATTCAAAATCTATCTGCTAATGTAATGATATTCCTCCAAAGATTCAGATGGTTCCCATCCTGATGACATTCAGGAAGCTATTAAAGACATGGCTATTCTCCCAGGCTTTGGTGCAAGGTGAAGGCAGAGCCCCTGTTCAATTTTTTGGGGTGTGTGTGTGTTATATATTTATCTTGAAGCTACTCATAATTTCTCTCTATTGTTTTCTGTATTTTTTACTAGTTTTTAATATATTTATTTACTATAAATTGATTAAGTAAAATGTATCTATCATAATGTCATATTTTTTGAAAATGTACTTTTCCCCCTACCCTCACAAAAAGCACAGTTGTAAAGCAAGTCTTTTTCTCTGAAAAAGTTCAGTTCTGGGAAAGAAAGAGCTGAAATGTTACATCCAGTTTTGCCCAAGCACTGCTTAATCCTTAATGGCAAGAGACCAATCAGCTACACCCACCTGAACTTTATCCTTTTGGCTTTAGAAACTGTCCCCTTGTTTGCTTAAGGTTTTTAATTTTACAAAAACAGATTTATGATTTAACCAGTTTGCTAACTATGGTTAACTCAAGTGAAAGAACTGAGAAATGTTCACAAGGAAGATAATTATATAGAGAACCATTCTCTTAATTCCTTTTGTTAATCTGAGGTTAGTGATTGTCTGCCGTTGCCATCTCTAGATGTAAAATTAGTTTCTGCTTCTCCTTAAATTATTACTCTTCTGTGATTAAACTGGGACCATTACAGTCTGCCTCCTAGTATTGTCTCTATTGAACTTTTCCCCAGCTTTATATAACTGTTTTGAGATTACCCTAGAAAAGCAGAAATTAGAGTCCAAAGTCTTTTTAAAAAATAAAATGAAATCAGTTGTCTATTTGAACTGTTTGTTTCCTTATGCAACCCTAGAGTTAAATCTGTTGTTGTTGTTTTACAAATATTTTTTTTATTGCAAGAAGTCTGTAACAAATTACATTTGAAGACTTAGCCTTAAGTAAGATTTGCTCTAGTAGTACCACAATTTCTGTCTTTGTTGATGCTTCTCTCCCTGTAGGGGTTTTGCCACAGTTACATGGGGCAGTAGGTTTGTGGATTGGAAGGCAGTAAAACATAGAAGCTGAAATAAATTTAGCGAACAAAGCAAAAGAGTAACTTCAGTTGCAAAATATAACATTCACAGGCAAGGCAACAAAACATGAGATGTCAACATTCAATAGAGGGATTGAATACAGAACAGAATCTTTCATTTCTTCAATTAGTGGAGCTCCATTTCATCAAAGGCAACAGCAAATAACAGCAAAGTTTTCCCAGATTGTGATGGCTAATGTTCTTCCTTCAGGAATCAGGCCCAAACTGAAACTCAGCCCTGGGAAGGGTTTGAAAGTCATATAATATACTACTGCAAATTCTATTTAAGCATATTTATAGTTTACACTTCGTGCTTATCAGCTACCAAAAGTTTTGTGAGATAGTACCAGCTCTTACAATCAAACCTTCCATACCACAGAAGGCTGACAATGGAAGAGATAATACTCTTGACTAGGTTGCCTCAGAAGATGAAAAAAGCTCTGAAAAAAAGCCACAGGGAAGTGGGAAGCTCAGAGATTTGCTTTAGAAATCTAATGCCTCACCAAACTCTGCTATGCACAAGAACAAGAGAGCATAGAGGAAAAAAATAATCTTTCCTCTTGCCAGTACAATGGTCTTCCATAATAGCCCCACGGTGTGTTAGCTGTTGTTATACCATTTTTAAACTAGTCCTATTGTTTTATGAGTCCCACTTATAATCAAGCACTCCCTTTTCTCATTGTTCTTCGAGCACACACTCAAGTTCTTTCCCCTTAATTTGATCAACTGTTCACAAGTGACAGTGACCAGGCATCTTGAACAAGCTAATTTTGCATAGCCGAATTAAAGACAACAGGATTTTATGATGGGATAATCTGCACACACCATTCAGTGGGACTCCTTTCCCTATTTCCCCTAATGTATTAGGTACTAAAGCAGCTAGAATCTTTCAGTGAGTTACAAACACAGAGTTCTGCTGGTTGCAAAGCTATATTGAAAAAGAACATCCTTTGGCCTCATTATCACAGTTGCACTCATTCCTCCTTTCACTCTTCTGAGGTTTGTTTTCTAATCCCTAAGGTTTCTTTTCCTGTTCTCAGAAGTTTGATATGCCAACTATCTGATTAGATATGGACATGCTTCTCTTACTTCTAGATAATGGCTTCTTGAGCTCTTTCATAGACGCTGGCTCTAACTCTTTTGTGGCCTTCTTTGTCACACTGTGCTGCATTACGTTTGCTTCTAAACTTGTTGAATTTACTTACTCAGGAAGTAAAAAAAACACATATAGGAATTTAGTTGTATTTCCTGCTTTTATTGAATTGATTCATCTTCTTCTAGTAATATATAGGAGTTATGGAAAAACACTATAGTTTCATGCCTCTGCTTAGAAAGCAGTCCTGGTGTCACAAAAGCTGGGAGGCATTAGATTATCACACTCTGTATTGTTTTTCTCCTCCTCCTACACCAACATTCCATGCTTCGCTACTGCTTCTAGTCAAAAGTTTTATTAATATATCTTCAGTTTAAGCTAACTGCAATTGAAATCATTATGTCATTAGGTATCCAGATACTAAACACATCAACTTTTTGTTTATTTTTAAGCAAAAATGTAATAGAATAGTTAAAAGTGTAAAACAAGGAGACTGCGAGTTCTAGTCCTCCCTTAGACACAGAAGCTGAGTGGAGGACGTTGGTCCAGTCACTCTCTCTTAGCCCAACCTGCTCCAGAGAGTTGTTGTGAGGAAAATAGGAGGAGGGAGCATTATGTACACTACCTTGAGTTGTACAAAACAAAGGTGAATAAAGATGGGATATAAACTAATAAATAAATAAAATCTGCAAATGTGCATACGACTGAGTGAGCCAGAATCTTGATCTCAATACTCCCTTTGCCGCCTATCATTTCTCTCACTCTGGAAAGGTGAAGTCAGCCTGCTTTAATCCCCAAGTTCAAGCCCTAGTTGTAGCTCTGTTTAATTACTGTAAATCGACTAAATTGTAGATTTTCCATGACTTTAGAAATGTACGTGCAAAAACCATAGTAACCAACGAACACCCAGCCCCAAACCAACCAGATAGCAAAGATACTGTCGATAGTACACGATTGCTATGATACATGTTTATTTGTGTATTAAATCTATATTAAATTCAACTCCCAACGACTCTGTCTGTGGATCTATTGCCGAATCCACCCCAAGTGGCTCGTTTAAAACTTGTCTTGGTGGATTCGGTTCGGCCTTTTGTTTTATCTCGCAAGCAGATTTGCTTGCCGCTGCGTGACTCACAGGGACACCAGACACCGTAGAAGGACAGCCCTATAAGCCTATAGCGGCAAAAATTAGGAGTCTGGTAGCACCTTTTTCAACTAACAAATGCTATTAAAAGGCATAACCTTTTGCGAGCTAGAGCTCACGAAAAACACCAGACTCTTCCCGAGTATCTGACACGGAACCCCCCCCCTCAAAAAAAAGTTCGTAAAACAACGCCACCACGCAGTTTTCCTTCCAGTTCTCCGTTTTCTTGCTTCCGCGTCACATGATACTCGCATCCCAGAATCCCTCAGTCAAGATGGTAGCCTCCTGATGCTGACGTGCACGTGTGTGTACGGCTGTCCGACTGACGAATAAATTGGTTTTTGCGGGACGACTTGCTTAGTATACTGCCTTCATTTCTCAAAGTAGCTTGTTTTTGTTTAATTTTCGAACACATGAAGACCAAATCGTCGGCTCACAAGACTGAGAACACGCATCGGGTGAGATACCGGTGCCGGATTAGTTTAATATTTGATTCACCGCAAAGGATAATTAATGAATGAGTTGCTGTTAGTTTAATCCTGAATACGGTCACTGATTTTAATGGATTTTAGACCTGAAATTGTGACACAGGTTTCATACTGACATATTTGAAATTAACAGATGTTCTTACTGGTGCTAAAGACTAGCTAAATAATTAGTTTGCGAATTAAAATAATGCCCACTCTGGTTGCTCATCTAATAGCATATACAGTATAGTAATATTTAGTCTAAGAGAGGAATCATCTACAGGTAGGCTTTCTTACTGAAATTAGGAAATTCGTCCAGACAACTATTTACCAGATTGGCAAGACTGCTACTTGGGAACTGGAGCAAGTTTTTCAGCCAAACTTGTCAGTATCTTTGGCTTACAGCATGCTCGTAATATTATTAGTGTAATAATCTGGAATGTGGAACATGTGGTCAAGTGGAAAAAAAAAAGAACAATTACATTCATGTGTGTCAATATCAGAAGATTCTAATGTGTGTATAAGCCATGTATTTTCATAAGCACCATGTCATATAACGAGTCAAATATTTTAAAGGTACAGTTGCATCAGATTTGACCCATACGACTAAGTATTCTTTTACAGTGTGATTTCCTGAATGTTATTGATACTCAGCCAAAATATCTTCTGTGTTTCTCTTGTAGTTTCTCACTTTTTCAGAACGTTTAAGCAATGTAAATATTGATGTTATACATCGCATTGATAGAACAGGAAGCTATGCTGAGGTAAGACCAATATAGTTGTCTTAAAATCATGTTGTCTCTGTGATGATATTGCCATATATCATATTTCTTAGTGATAGAAGCAGTTCTCTGTCTTATTATTTTGTATACTTGCTGAAATAGTCCATTTTTATCCTTTTATCTCTAGCTGACATCCTTGCCCTTCCTTCCTTCCTTCCTTCCTTCCTTCCTTCCTTCCTTCCTTCCTTCC